GGGTGGGGAAGGAACTGGTCTTCCTGCTAAGACAGCTGTGAATGGTGTGTCACTGCAGATTCTGTGCCATGGCCAAGCGCCGGGGCGAGGGGCTCCCCAGCCGAAAGACTGCACTGGTGCCCCCATCTGCGGACTACTCCACCCCGCCACACCGCACAGTGCCCGAGGACACAGACCCTGAGCTGGTGTTTCTTTGCCGCCATGTTTATGACTTCCGCCATGGCCGCATCCTCAAGAACCCCCAGTAGCCTCCTCACACCCATGCTGGGGCTGCCCACGGGCAAATGGGGCTCAGGGCAGGGGGCACTGCTTGAAGCACAGCACTTGGTTAAGGGGCCACAGGAGCTCGAGGTGGCTGGCCTGTGGTTCTCTTGTGGGGGAGGGCAGGGGCCCCTGTGGGGTTGGGCCCCACGGGAGGGAAGGGGAGGCCAGGGTATAAGAAAAGCATCCGAACCCTCAGCTTGGCCCAGTTTGCCTCCCTGGGGTCCATGGGTAGAGGCTCCTAAAGAGGCAGTCTTCCCTGAGGGGCATGGGCCCTGAAGGGACTGGGGGAAGGTCCTTCAGGAACCACGCCCTTCTTTATCCTCCCCTGGGCCCTTCAAGGGGGCATGGGAGCCAGCTTACCTCACCCACTGTGACCCGCTGCCTCCCCATTAGCCTGGGACCAGGCTCTCCCAGATTCTAGCACAGCTCCGAGCCCATTCCTTTGAGGCCTGGAGAGCCAGCGTCTGGCTCCCAGAGCGTTGACTTTTTCTTCCTGGACTTGGGGCCTTTCTCTGGCATTCCTCCTTTGCCCTTGCAGTAGCCCTTGGTGCTGGGACAAGTTACCAGCCCTCACCGTCATGGGTGTGGCCCCCTTGTGGGAGTCAGCTTCCTGTCCACCTCCTGGTGAAGGCCACCCAGCAGGTCTGGCTTCCCAGAAGTTAACTGATTAACGCGGGCTTTGTCATGTCTGGGAGAGCAGAAGGGAGCTGGGCGGGGGTGGGGGCAGGGGGCAAGGAAAATTGCTACCTGATTTATTGAAGACTTCTCCTCTTGCCTTACACTTGGAGGTTCTAGGAAACCTCTTGCAGAACTTCACACATGACTCTTCAAGCCACACCCACCTGAAATCAAACCAAAGGAGTGCTGTGGCTCCCCTTGCCCCCGACACCCCTTTCCCTAGTCTTTTGTAGATTGCACTAATTTACATCCCAGCAAGAATCAACACTGTATCAGTCCACAGACCTGCTGAGCTGCAGCCACTCACTCTAGGAGCTAAGGACCTGCATTTTTAGTTTATTCCTGTTGCCCAGGGGCCCTGTTCTCACCTCATACTGCTCCCCAGAGTAGATTAGGAGGCTCACCCCCCTGCTGTCCTTGCCAGGACTAGGCCCTGGCCCTGGAGCACTCTGTGGGGGCTGGAGCAGCCTAGTTTTTTCCTATTTGTACCAAAGAGGAGCCTGACGAGGAGAGGGTGCGTGGCTTGGGCCTGGCGCTGGGTGCATGCTCAGCAATTCTGCAGGGCACCACCTTGGTGGACATGAGCCAAGGAGGGCAGCACTGGGTCCTCCTCCCCTAGAGAGGGGCAGACATGGACCCCACAGGCTGAGGAGGTGGCACTGGGTGAGGACAGTTGGGCAGGAGGTGGAGGCAAACCCTAAGGGCACGCCCAGCAATCCCCCAGCCCTGCCTGGTTCCTGAGCAGAAGGCTCCTCCTGTTTTAGTCACTGGTCTCAGGTGAGGCCTGGACCATTCAGAGGTAAATTCACACATGGGAAGCCCAATCTCAAACCCCAAGGGAAGAAACTTGGGTCCCCTCTTACTGAATAAGCTGTTTGGAGGAAGACATCAGTCCAGGAGGGTGGGGCAGTAAGAGAAGGTGGCAGAGTCGGGGCTGCTAAGGAGCCCAGCCTCACCCAGCAGGAGGAGATCAGGCCTCCAGGGAGGCGAGGTCTACTGCCCAGGACTTAAATGCTTTTGAAATCTCTTAGATGTGGAAATATTTTTTCGAACCTGAAAATGCAGCTGGTAGAATTTCAGTGGAAGCATAATTCATGTAAAATATATTTTAGTTGATATTTTGTAAAATGCACTTTTTGTGTGTGTCGACCCTGGTTTCTCAGATCTGTATTTCAGTGTTTACAAGGGAGGGAGGACCTTTCCTCACCTCCCTTTTGACAGAGATTAGAAGTACTTCTTTAAGAAAAAAATAAATTTGAGAAATTGTATTGATTTAGAAAAGGACCATTTTCTGCGTGTCCTGTCATCTTTTTGTGTGTGGGCTCACACAGAGGGGCTCACTCCTCTTTATTTGGGGGGCTCCTCCTTAACCATTGCAGTGCAGGGGCTCACTGAGGCCAATAAGCCAAGGGCAGAGGAAGGGAGGGGGCGTGGAGAGCAGCAGGAGGCGAGGACACGGGGAATGGCAGCTTGGAGTTGACTTCTTCACATCCTGGTAGCTGGAGCCAGCTGCCTGGGCTGAGGGAAATCCATGGGTCGCCAGTTCTCACCTGGCTGGTGACCTGGGAACTCGCCTCCAAGTGGTTGCATGGTGAAGATACTATGATCATCATCACCTTCCGTCATGCCCCTGGAGAACTGGTCAGCAGAAACTGTTTGAGGGCCTTGGCCTCTTGAAACTGTCACTCGTGAGGAATTGAAGGCCACATCATGAGGCAAGGACTCAAACCTCCTGGACCATTGGTTCAGTCAGTCCAGCCCTTACCCCAAAGCCTGTGTTGACTGTGTCCAAGGTGGGACAACTTCTAAAGGGGGGTGGGGGGGCGGGGCGGGGGCGTGTTCCTTGAAGGCAGTTAATGCTGCTCAGCCATCTCCTGCATTTTGTAAGCACGTCTGGGTAGGTGCATTTCCATAGAGGTTATTGGTGACATGAACACCACCGTGGACGTACTGTAGCACTGACCTCAGTATGCTACCCACAAGAGTCCCGTGAGGTGTGCGTATCCTATCATTTTACAGACAGGAAACTGGTGTGGAGACAAGTGTCTAGGGACTCCTTTAGAGTAAGTGGCTATTCCTGTATTCAGACTGCCTCACTGTGACTGCTAACAGAAAACTGCTCAGAGAAATGAACACATGTGACCCATTTAGCAAAAACTTTCTCAAAGTTGTTTTTTCCTCTCCTGGTATAAAAGATGTTCAGTCACTTTAGTCGTGTCTGACTTTTGTGATCACATAGACTGTGGCCCGCCAGGTTCCTCTCTCCATGGGATTTCCTAGACAAGGCTACCGGAGTGGGTTGCCATTTCCTTCTCCAGTGGATCTTCCCAACCCAGGGGTCAAACCTGCGTCTCCTGCATTGGCAGATGGATTCTTTACCACTGAGCCACATGGAAAGCCCATAAAAGATGTACTTGTTTTCTTCTTTTTCTTCTTCTTTTTTGTTAAAGATTTCAGTAGAAATATTCCCACTACCAGAAATCTACCTTCAGTGCTCTTGGAAACAAGGAGCAGTTTAGTGAGGAGTGAGCCCTGATGGCAAACTTCTAAATCAGTGAATGGTGCGTCCTGAGATGCACTCTAGCATTCAGACTGGGAGTAGGGAGTTTGCTCTGAGGAGCTGAAGGCCTCTAGGCTTCCCATTCCTGAGGACTCCTCATCCTCTGAATTCCTCTCATCACTCACTAAACTCAGAGCCTCTGGCACCTTCTTTGCCATTGCCCCCTCAGTACAGTGTGTTCTGGGGTCAGCTGCTTTCTCCCTCCACATTTGTGCTCCATTAACCTCAGAAGGATTGTGATTGGGAATTTAGGTTTTAGAATCAGACCAATTATGTAGAGTCTCAGCTTCCCTGAGCCTGTCTTGTTTCTTGAGCTGCTCAGTGGGAATGCGCAGTGTGGCTGTGACAACTAGAGATAATGAACACAAAACACTGATGACACCTGCCTCAACAACTGTGGACACTACTCTGTTTCCGAGCCTCATTGGCTGCCCACTTGTAAGAGTGAAGGGTGGATACAGTTCAGATCAGTAAAAACTGTCCACTGACATCCAAGTCTTTCCCTGTCTCTGCCTCTAGTCTACATGGCTAGCCTGGTGGGGTTGAGCACACAGTTTGGCTGCAGGCAAGAAGTTGCTACTCAGTGGCCCCAGCTCCTCACCCTTCAAGTGTGTGATGATCACACCGGTAGTCATGAGGTACCAACTTGTCACCGGCCCCTGACCAGAGAGTGTCCCAGCTCTTCAGGCCTGGAGGAGGGAAGACAGGAGAGGAGAAGATTCCATTTCAAGACATCTAAGCATTACCCAATGGATAAACACTAACGACTAGGTGCTGTTTTAAATCTTAAGGGTAACCATAGAGCTGATCCATTGTCACTGCCTGACAGTCTAGTTGCTTTTTATTGGAGTAGCCAGGACACAGCAGATAAGGGAGCACACTGGGACCTCCAGAAATTTGGGACTCGGCGGGGAGAAGGGTGCAGCGGCCCCTTCCCTCCAGACCTGTTGGAATACGGGCTCGGCCGGGTCAGAGGGTGTGGCGGCCGGGCATTGAGTGCAGGTTCTGTCCGTCCAGCTTCCTGAGCACACGCTGAGCGGGAGAGGGAACCACAGCCTCGGTCTTTTCTGCCTTTGGGGTCTCGGCAGCTTTTGTGCCGGATGGCTGGAGGACCAGAGCCACCCTGGCTCAGGCGCCCTTTCCAGGGTAGGGGTCCGCACGCGCCCTCCCAGCCCGCTCACTGCAGGGGGCCCGCCCCTCTCCCCGCCCCTGGCCTGGGCCCGCCCCCGCGCCTGTGTCACTGCGGGGCAGGGGGAGGAGAGCGGCCGGGCGGGACATCCGGCCCAGGTCCCTCGCCGCGCCCGCGCGCTGCCCGCTGCCCGCCGACCGCTTCGGCGCCGCATCCTGGGAGTGGGCCACCCTGCGCGCGCCGGGGGCCTCCAGCCAGCGCTGCTCTCCCCGATCCCTTCCGGGCTCCGCGGGTCCAAGCCCTCGGGCCCGCCCCCAGCCCGAGCCCGCCTCCCGGACAGCCCTCGGATCAGCAGGGCCCACGCAGGCCCCCGCCCCGGGAGCACGATGTTCCCCCGCCCGCTGACCCCGCTGGCGGCCCCAAATGGCGCCGAGCCCCTGGGCCGGGCGCTGAGGCGGGCGCCCTTGGGCAGGGCCCGGGCTGGGCTGGGCGGGCCGCCCCTGCTGCTGCCGTCCATGCTCATGTTCGCGGTGATCGTGGCTTCCAGCGGGCTGCTGCTCATGATCGAGCGGGGCATCCTGGCCGAAATGAAGCCCCTTCCCCTGCACCCTCCCAACCGCGAGGACGCGGTCGGGCGCGGGACGGTCCCCAGGCCTGGGAGGCTGTCCCTGGATGCGGGCGACTCGGACCTGCAGGTGAGGCAGGACGTCCGGAACCGGACCTTGCGGGCAGTGTGCGGACAACCGGGCATGCCCCGGGACCCCTGGGACTTGCCGGTGGGGCAGCGGCGCACCCTGCTGCGCCACATCCTCGTGAGTGACCGCTACCGCTTCCTCTACTGCTACGTGCCGAAGGTGGCCTGCTCCAACTGGAAGCGGGTTCTGAAGGTGCTGGCGGGCGTCCTGGACAACGTGGACGTCCGCCTCAAGATGGACCACCGCAGCGACCTGGTGTTCCTGGCCGACCTGCGGCCTGATGAGATTCGCTACCGCCTCCAGCACTACTTCAAGTTCCTGTTTGTGCGGGACCCCTTGGAGCGCCTTCTCTCTGCTTACCGCAACAAGTTTGGCGAGATCCCAGAGTACCAGCAGCGCTACGGCGTGGAGATCGTGAGGCGGTACAGGGCTGGAGCCGGGCCCAGCCCTGCGGGGGACGATGTCACCTTCCCTGAGTTCCTGAGATACCTGGCGGATGAGGACCCCGAGCGCATGAACGAGCATTGGATGCCCGTGTACCACCTGTGCCAGCCTTGCGCGGTGCGCTATGACTTTGTGGGCTCCTATGAGCGGCTGGAGGCAGATGCCAATCAGGTGCTGGAGTGGGTGCGGGCACCGCCCCATGTCCGATTCCCAGCTCGCCAGGCCTGGTACAGGCCAGCCAGCCCTGAAAGCCTGCACTACCACCTGTGCAGTGTCCCACGGGCCCTGCTGCAGGACGTCCTGCCCAAGTACATCCTGGACTTCTCCCTCTTCGCCTACCCACTGCCTAATGTCACCAGGGAGGCCTGTCACCAGTGACCATGGGTGTGGGCCAGTAGTTGTTGGGGACTGGTTTTGACAATGCCAGCTTCTGTGTTGCCATACAGTGAAACCTTGGCTCCAGCGTTTCTCTTTGTCTAAATGCCTAGCTGGAAAGGACTGCCCTTGGAAGTTTCTTGTCCAGGGCGGGTGCCCACAGTGGCTCAGACGACAAGGTTGGACGGGTGGCCTGGTGCTCTCCATAGGGGCGTTTCTTGGGAGCCAGTGTGATCCTTCTTGCCCTGCCAGGGCAAGATACTAGTTTTTCTAGTGAAGCAATACATCTCTTCTCAAGACCGGCTCCATGGCCCTGCCTGCAGGGATTTTACTGATCAAGTGATCAACCTTAATTTAACCTGTAGCCAAACCCAGAGGTGGTGCCAACCAGGAGCATGACCGGAACTGGGGGCCATATGGCTCTGATCTCCCATTCATCCATTTCATGTGCCTTAGGGCTGGAGTCAGTTGTGCCTTATAAACGACTTCTGTATCGTTCTGCTTCAGACTTAGAATTTCCTATACTTGCCAGGTTCTTTCCATTTTTTCCAAGGAAAGGTAAACTGAAAGGGCCCCTACCTGGTAGCTCCAGTACCTGGCTCTGCAGCATCCAAAGACCCCTGTGCCCAGCCTCTTCTTGGGACTCTGGGCACTTTCTCCCATCCCCCAGGGTTGTGACTGTGGCTGGTGTATCTGGCTGCCACTTTTCTGATGCATTTATTTAAAATTTGTACTTTTTGATAGAACCTTTGAGAAGGCTTTGTTTTCCTAATAGCTGAATTTTTTAATAAAGTCATTTTGTGTACAAGGTCAGTATCTCTGATTCTCCCTCTGAGCTCCTGTGTGTCCACCAAGTCCCCCTGATGTCCCTCTCCCCAGGACAGGGGAGGAAGCTTGCAGTAGACAAAGTTGTCACTTGCTAGGGCTTGTGCAGTGGGCCATCGTCATACCACGGAGCCTTTGAGAGCTTCCTATAAGCCATACCAATCACTGACTCAGCTTCTGGGGCGCCACCATCAAGAAAGGCCCCAGGCCTCGAGCACATCTACACGATTATTCCCTGAAGGTAAGTAAAGATATTCCTCCTCTTAGGCAGGCATACTTCTTGACTGAGGAGGCCCTCAGTTGAAAAGGGGGATCATTGCATGAGCCGGGGGAGGTTATTCCTGGCATTGAGAATTATAAGGAAGGCAAGGAGGTTGAGTGGAGGGGCCAGCTTTTGCTGACTTAGATTCAGAGGAAGTTGTGAGCAATGTGGGAGGAGTATGATCAGGTAGTAGAAGACAGGCCTCAGTGTGACTCTGTCACCTTCTGCTCTCCAGAGACCCCCAGACCCACCAGGGGGTGGAGAACAGGAGGCAGGGCCTGCCGAGCCCCTGGGAGAGATTCACGGTCAGAGCTGGCTCTAGTCCTAGTTCATACATCCCCCCTGGGAACTGCTGTACTTCAGGGGCCTGGGGCTGTGGTGAGAGGTGATGCCTGAGGGAGGGAGGGAGGCAGGTGGGAAGGGCCTCCTTGCAGATGTCACTTTTACCTGGCCTTGCTATTGGCCTGACTTTGGAGAAGTAGACTAACCACATTTGGGGGAAGGGGCTTCTTTGGGCACTCATGTTTCTTTGCCATGACTCAGCAGGAGGCCTTAACTGATCCCCTGTGTGGGATCCTCAGCTCCTGGAGGTTCTACCTCAGATAGCACCTACCATACTCACCACATCTGCCCAGTTACTTGTCAGTCTCTCCCACCGAGAATGTGAATTGTGTTGAAGGTGAGACTGAATCTGTCCTGTCCACATGACATTTCCAGGACCTAACCCAAGGGACCAGCAGAAGGTAGATGGCCTGGCAGAACCAAGGTGGACATCTTGATGCAGGACAGAGAGTACTGTGCTTGGAGTCATCTAGACTGATTGAGTCCCGCCTCTGCTCCCCACCAGCTGCCCAACCATGTCTCTGACCCTCCGTGTGCTCCTCTGTATCATGGGAATAATAATGCTTATCTTACATAGATCTCACACGTAGATCACTGTGAGGAGTAACAAAGACAAAATGAGTCAAAGGGCCCAACCCAGCACCTGGTTCGATAGATGTTCTCTGAAATGCTAATTGAACACCTGATCTCTCGGAGGCCTATGGTGACAGGGAGAACCCAGAACACTGTGTCCGCTCAGCACTGGAGATCAGAGCTGCCTCTGGGCAGGGCACTTTGGCCCTTCACTTCCTCTGCCAACCCATCAGATCTTTTCTGAGCTTCCCGCCCTTCAGGACCTCCCACCCCTACCCCCACCCTCATCCCCACTCTGTCCCCAGTCTCTTCCTCCTTGGCTGGGACCTGCAGTCCCAGATCCAAGGCAGCTCCTTAGTCTCCCTCCCAAGGCCCTGCAGCATAGAGCCCAGCTGCAGTGTTTGCCTCATCTCCTTTCAACCCCACAACAGCTGGGTGTTACAGGTTTTAGCCTGTTCTACAGATGCAGAACCTGGCACAGAGAGAGTTAAGTATCCTGAGTGAAGTCCCTCCCAGGGACCTCCCAAATTGTAGGGGCATGGGTGTGCAGAATGACAAAAGGAGAGAGGGTGTAGAGAGAAGAGAGGACTGAAAGGTTAAGGAAGATGAAGGCGGGTTGGGGGTGAGGATGTGGGTGGATTTAGGGGCATTCACATACGTTCTACCTCCGCAGTTCTTTCATTCCTTCATTTGCAGAGAACCCAATTCAGCCCAGCTGACAGTTGCCAGTCCTTGCCCTGGAGGAGATGCCATCCTTGATGTGGTTAGCTTATTGGCTACTCTCTACTAGGCAGAGAAGGGTGCCAGGCCACAGAGCATCCTGACATCCAGAACCAGAAACCTTGTGGCGTGGGGAGGAGGCTTTGAGGTAAAAGAGGGCCTGCTTAGATGAGCTGCCACCTTCTGTCCTTTTTCTCCCTAGAATCGGCCCTGAGGAGCTCCATTGGTGATCTACCGTTCCTTTCAGAAAAATGGACTTCTTCAAAGAAGCTGCCACGGAGGTGGCAGAGTTGTGTGGGTGCGGCTAGTCCTAGTGGGGCTTGCCTTATTCTAGGGGCCCAGGCCAGAGCCGGGGGTATGTGGTGAGCAGTGGGTTGTCAGGGTTGGGCCGAGGGCATTCTCAGGACTAGACACCTGGGCTGTGTCTACTCAGGATTCCCCCTTTCACTGGGTGCCCCCTCATCCCCACATGGAACCAAGCCCTCCGCCACTGCCTGGTGACTCTGAAGGCAAAGCCCCCTTTAAAACTCACTGCATCCCTACCACTGAGTCCTCTTGGGCACAGGAGCATGAGGCTGGCGGCTTAACTTCTCTCAGCTGAGGGTTATGAACAAAGGAAAGAGGAGGAACCCAAAGGGGCCTGGCCTTCTGGGTCTGGGTCCTCCAGGATCCAGTTCTGATCCATCTTTCATCCATCTGAAGCTACTGCCTAGAAACCATGTCACCTTAAATTCTAAGGTCCTTTGCCCCTCTGCTTCCCACCTCTGTCCCACCCATCACACAGACCCTCTGCAGGAAACACCCAAGTCCAAGTGGAACCACTGACCCTCCCCCTGGGTGGATACAGAGCCCTCACCTTTCCCAGGAGCCAAAAGGAGAGCAAGCCTGCTGGCCCCCTCCCAGGGTGAATCCAGTGCTTTTATTTATTTATTGAACCAGTCCCTGGCTGGCCTCAAACACGAGGAAAGACATTCTTTCTCTTCCTAAAGGGAAGTAAGAATTCACAATGGCTACTCTGAACTGAGAGTACCTGTGCCAGCCGCGCAGTGGAGTACTTTTAACTCATCATCCTCTCCCTTCTGACAACAACCCTACAAGGTACGTAAAAGTGTTCTCATTTTATATATGAAGAAAGTAGGACTAAACGACTTACCCAAAGAGGTGGTGGGGCTGAGATGAAAACCCAGCTCCATCAAGTGTTTGGTCCTCCATAGATGAACATGCATCACAAGTTACCCAGCTCATTGCGTTTGCTGCAAAGCATCGTGTTCGTTTTCTCTAATTTTTGAGCCCTTTTCCTCCAAAGCTCCTTCCAACACTCCCCAAGGAATTCTGTTTGCAGGCCTCTCCAGCTATTATAAAATTCTCCGGAATTGTCCACCCTGAGAATCTACTTTCCAGTAGATCCAGAATGTGAATATAGTAGACTTTAAGTTTGGGTCTTCTGAGAAGCAGATACCAAGACAGAATTAGATGTGCAAGAGATTAATAGGAGAAAACAGCTGTGAAAGGGGAAGGGAGCAGGAACAGGGGCAGAAATAGGCAGGCAGTATCTCCTGACCCTTGAGAAAGGAGAGCAGGAAGGAAAAATTGGGTGGGAAGAGTCTCAGATTACAGTGCCCCTCTAAGAAAGTCTCAACAAGGCTAGTGGGGAGTCCCAGGCCAAGACTGCTTTTTGGAAGAGCCCTCCACTGAGCAGAAATGGGGGGACATGAACATCATAGCTGATGGAAAGGTGCAGCAGCTGGGACCTATCAGTCAATTCCTCTTCTCACAGCAGGTTCTCTTGAAAGGAGATGTGAACCGGGCACTTCTACGGCTGCCACACAGACCTGGTTACTCCAATCTGTGGGCACTGGTCTCCATAGGTTCTGTTGACATAACGACCTTTTTCACAAATAGAAAACAGCTGCTGGCCTAGTAAGAGCCTCTAGGTGTCTGGGGCATCTTGAACTAAACTATTCCCCGTGGTCATCCCTTGGCTTTATAGCAGGACCACTACTGCCCCTGCTCTTCGTCTGGGTGTTGGAAGATGTGTGCTATCACTGTTCCCAAGTGCCCGTACTGTAATTTTCATGATGTTTTCTCTGAAATTTATCCAACTCACTGCAAGTTTTAGTTATCTTTGTTCTGCATCATTGTCATTGATTGGGTGGATATTGATGATTATCTTTGCTTAGCTTCCATGTCTCATAGGCTCAGAGCAGAATCACCCAGAGATTGAGTCTGGGTGATGGAACCCCGGATCCCCAGGGCATGCAGTCTAGACTTTCTCCCAATAGTCTCATCCAGATGGACTTAAGCCGCAGGACAGCCTGAGAGGGAAGCAAAATTCCCCTAAAGAGAGCTTCTAGGGACCTGCATGCCCAGGAGTACCAAGTACTCTGTAGACTCCCCTACTGAGCTCTTTGTACTGCCTGGGCCCGGATCCTTCTGCAGAGGAGTCCCCATAGAAACAAAGAGAATCACAGTGTTAGTCCTGATGGTGCCCTTATGGGAGATCAGGAGGACCAAGTTTGGGCCTGGTCTTCTTCCGCTCCTCAGCCCGCCAGCAGGAAAACTTTGCCGGCCTCAGCCTTTGGGCTGGGCTTGGGAGATAGAAACACATAACGGGCTTGAGGAGCTTAGGAAGGAGGTGCCTGTTATGTTACTTCTTCCACTGGCCCCGCAGTGGCTGCTACCAGATCTGCTGGGCCACCACCTCAGGGACGATTTGCAGATGGAGGGAGCCATCCATCTCACAGCAGCCTAGGGGGCAGGAAGTCATGAAGCCTCCACTGGACCATTTTGCTGTCCTCAGCCCTGGAGAGCTGAGCTGCATCTGAAACCCCCACCAGAGCCCTAGCAGAGTCCCAAGAGTCCAAGCGCTGTGGTCAGAGGGACCATCAAGGCAGAAGAGTCCATGGGAGTCGAGTTTCAGGCCGGCCCCGAGCACAGTGATGCCAAGGTCCGCAGGCTGCCTGGAGGAGTGCACTGGAGGCAGGCCCAAGAACGCTGGTTTGGCTAGTTGAGGGGAATGGGGCAAAGCTTTCCAAATGAGGAGTTAAGCCAAAGTGGGGGTCAACTGATCCCTGGAAATGCAGACATGCCT